TAAAATCTCTTCTGATTTCATTTCAACCTGTTGGTTCTGGTCCGACCTTCTGGGGCAACAGAAGACAACTCCATAGCAGTAGGTGATGTGAAAGACCTCTGCCTGAGACCCTGGAGAGTTGCCACCAGTCCAAGTAAACAATACTGACGATGGACCCAGGGTCTGGTTCAGTAGAAGGCAGCTTCACGGGTTTGCAACCTTTCTCCCTCTCCCCACCGTGAGTCAAAGTGCAGACAGGTCATCTGCACAGGGCTCCTAAAGCTTTAGTGGTAGCCGTGGGGTGGGTGGGGGGAAAGACAGGTAAAGAGAAGATTCCTTTTCCATGGCAGACAGCGCAGAGGTTCAGGTCATGCATGGGTTTGGTGGTTTCAATCAGGGCTCTTCTTGTAGAAAAAGCCCAGCAGGAACTCATTAGCATAATGGGCCACACCCCTGACAGCACAGCTCATTAGCACATTAGGCTGCACCCCCATGTTACCAGAAGTTTGGTTATCCAGCCACACCCACCTTTTGCTTGTTATTCTGTTTACCTTGTTTGTTGTCAAAACCCAGGGCTTTTTTGTAGCAGGAACTCCTTTGCATGTTAGGCCACACACCCCTAATGTAGCCAATCCTAATGAGTTTCTGCTGTTGGGTGTGGCCTATTATGCTAATGAGTTCCTGCTGGGCGTGGCCAACTCGGGAGCCAGCCGGAACTCCTTTCTTGTGCGTTCCTGCCCAAAAATAGCCCTGGCAATTATGAAGAGTATGCAGGGATGGAAAAGTTAAACTCCTTCTCTTCCGCCTGCTCCTGAATCAGGGCCCTCCCCAGCAACTAACTTTATTCTTTCTTTAGTACTGCGAATCTCTCAGCATCCCAAGTTGGTGTTAAGGTTTCCAACTCCAGGTTGGGAAATTCCTGGAGATTTGGAGGTGGAGCTTGGGGAGGGCATAATGTCATTGAGTCTACCCTCCAAAGCAGCCATTTCCCCCAGAGGAGCTGATCTCTGTTGTCTGGAGATGAGCTATGATTCCAGGAGATCTCCAGGCCTCAACTGGAGGTTGGCAACCCTATCTGTTGTGGATCCTAGGATCCTCCCCATAACGCTCTATAACTCTCAGGGGTTTTTGTGGCTTCTCCTCAGTGGAGCTTCCTGAAAGTTTGAAAAACACAGCCAAGTAGTAAAAAATTATGAAGGCCCAAAGCCGAAAAAAGCCAGCCAGTTTCTAAAAAGCAAAGCAACTGGGAATATCCTACATTTTAACAGCTCTTCTTCAGCTGGTCTTTAAAGATGTACACATTGAGAGCTTATTTCAATAATAGCAAGCTTGGTGGTCCCCGTTCCCTGAAATTTCTTATTAACTAGACATCTTAAAAATAATTTTGCTCATTGTTTTCCCGTCGCCCTTCCAGATCCAAGAAAACCCGAGAACGGTTAAGGCTCGAAGCTCATGCCTGCTGCTGTGATCCACAGTCAAACGTTTTATTAATTTGGCACATCTCGTTTATGCAGCAGTGAAAAATATAAATGGGTCTTATTTTGTGTTTTATAACGGATTTTTAGGTTCCTGAGATTTTTATTAAGGGGAAAGGGGCTGGGGGAACGGTGGTGGGGAGATTTACCAAAAACAATAACTTAGGTCATAAAAAAAGAGCAAAATCTGAATTGTTTCCCCTCTTTTCAGCACAACCTGCATCCCTAGAGTAGCTTCTGCATATTCAGGGCCCACTTCACCGCCCGCAGTCTGGAGGCCAGAACTCTATGGGGCGGTACAAATAATCATGTGAGTGTTTCAGCTCCACAACAGAGCTGGTGCAACCCAGCAGAATTTTTTTAGTGTTGCACTTGTTGAGGGACAGTGTGATGCAGTGGTTAGAGTGTCAGACTAGGATCTGGGAAACCCCGGTTCGAATCCCCCACTCTGCCACGGAAGCTCGCTTGGCGACCTTGGGACAGTCACATACTCTCAGCCTAACCGGCCTTGCAGGGTTGTTGTAAGGAGAAAAATGGAGGCGCAGAGAAGGATGTTAGCTACTTTGAGATCCCGCTGGGGAGAAATACGAGGTATAAATCAAGAAAATAAATAAGCTCAGCAAAACACTCAATGCAAAAACTGTGTATGTGTATAAAGCGCCTTCAAGTCACTGACTTATGGGGACCCCATTGGGATTTCAAGGCAAGAGACATTCAGAGGTGGCTTTGCGGTTGCCTGCCTCTGTGGAGCAACCCTGGGCTTCCTCGGCGGTCTCCCGTACAAATACCAACCAGGGTTAGGGATGCCAAGTAGGGGCGGGGAGAGGGGG